AGTGCGGACCCCCGCGCCGCCCGCACGCTGCCATCCCACAGCCCCTGCCGGGGGCCGGGACGTGCCAGGTCTCAGCAGTTGCACGGGACAGGGGGGCTTTGTGGACCCTCCCAGGTGCTGCAGGTTGGGGGCCGTGCTGGCATCACCTCGACACAGTGGGCGACCGCGCAGACCAACCTTGATGCCACCCCAGCCCTGGGACTGCAGGAAGTCCACGGGGGACGTGACGCCGGCCTTGGAAGGGAAGCGCAGAAGAAAGTCCAGCTCCACGGGGTTCACTTCTTTCTTGATTGCCAGGACCTGGCGGGTTCAGAGTGCAAGCGTCACGATCACCTTGGCACACACGGCCTCGAGGGGCTGCGCTCCGGGCAAGAAGCTACTAAGCATCCAGCAGCAGCACAGAAGTAAGAGAACCACCTGTCTAAACCAACATAAACTCACACACAGCGTTATACAACAGAAACCCCAAACATTTGAACGCGTTACCTGGAAAGCAACCTGGGCCAGGAAAATGAGTTTGTCTCTCTCAAAGAGTCCCCGTGCGGTGTACATATAGACCGAGTAGGTGATCTCATCCGTCAGGTTGATCACCCTTTGCTTGATGTCGTCGTCAGGGGCCGTGCGCTGAATGGCTTTCTCGAAGACCCCGTTGAATGCCTGAGGAAGAGCCGGGTGGGCAGCTCAGTGTCCAGGCTGCTGGGTGTTTTGTTAGCAGCATAAATGCTGAAACACCGAATCTCCGAGATCCCCCAAGCCCTGTCCTGCCCGTACAAACCAATTCCCTCCTTGCTCCACATCTACCTTGAGAGAGAACTGGTAGATGGGGTTGATCTTGTTGAGGTCACTCAGGATGAAGTACAGCAGGGATGCTCGCTCTGCCACCGGCCTGTAGTTTTCTCTAGCGACATTTATTTGGACTTCGGTGACTTTAGCTTCTTTCACCTTGACGCACACGAAGGTGGGTGTTATCCTGCATCCTGGCACGTGCCAAAGCAGCACCCAGCCTCCTGCTGAGCACTGGGTGCCTGGTGTGGTCCAGGAGAGCTCTCCCACTGCCTGCGGCACCGCAGCACCAGCTCCGGGGCAGCTCACTTACTTTTTCCTCAATTTCCATGGCTGTGCGCTTCGTTGTTTCCAGGTTCTCCACCAGCGCCATGTCCCCGAGGAAGTCCCCCGTGGCAGCAGACAGCCGGGCGAGCAGGGAATCCTCCAGCTCCTTCAGCTTGATCTTGAACTCATTCTGGCTCTTTGTGAGGTTTGCCTACAACACCAGCGCCCCGGAGAGACGCGCGTCATTCAAGAGACCGCGGCGAAACTCTGGCATCAATCACCGTGACTTACACTGGGCGCTCCCTAACAAACTGCATGCAACAGGCTGTGGACCATCAGCAGTTCTGCTGGCTTTATCTTCTACTCATTATAAATCCTTCCTTTACAACATAGTGAGGTACCTGTCAGCTGAGCTACGGGTCTCTGAGAAACCGGCCAAGTTTTTCATGCTGTCACCGAAGCACCGGTGCAAGAGGAGGGTGGACATGGGCCCCTCCTGGGATGCGCTGTCACCCGCAGGGTGATGCGGCGAGCGCGCCCGTGGCAGCGCCATGCTCCGCAGGTGGACCCCAAGCTGCCCACGCAGATGGCAGGCTCTGATCGGGGGTCGCCCGGGCCCCC